ATTATCCACCTATGGAAAACCCTTATAACATATAATTATGTCGTTTGATCAAAATAATTATTAAGCTTATAAAATGGAATTATCACATTTATACAACTACCATATTTTATCAACATAATTATCACTTTATGCAGTGTAAGTATCGCTTAATATAAATATCACGTTAATTAATATAATTATCAAGCTAATAAAATGGAATTATCTCATTTAATCAATATAATTATCACGTTTAAGAGAAAAATTAAATAAATACATTTTTTACTGGAATCTGATCCTTTATTTTATTTTAATGCTGGTTCTCTGAACTTTACCAATAAAGTTCTGTTGACGCCAGAGAGGCTCTATAACGGGACTAATATAGTTAATTTATCATAAAATGTGACGTTTTGACATCGAAAGATTAAGATTCATTTAGTAAATATTATTTTCAGGCGCCAGCTTCTTGCTTAAATGACAGCAAATGTGAGCAAATATGGGTGAAGAAATATAAGTTCTAAATAAAATAGTTTGAACAGAAAAAGCTCGACAGAAAACAAATTTTTGTTTGTGCCTTTTCATCAAGTTTGAACTTCTACAAGGTGAGAATCTATCTGCATCATTATCTAAAACGTATTTCCATATGTAGGCATCCAGTTAACATACTATACCAGCTTTATTAATGGAGCTCTTTAAAGGCTTAGAAGTCTATAAATCTGAGCCATAAACACAAAATATAAAGAAATATTTACTGGTGAGAAAGAAAATTCCAGAAATATTTTGTCCATCTAGTTGAGGTTCCAACATGTTAAACAGATCAGGTCAGAAATGTTCATCAGCCTTTTTAATTGGCCCCTTTTGGTTCAATTAATTGCCTCTAATTTAATTCAGCGTTGATCAGCAGCATTCAGGCACGTTATTAGTTATTGTTTTGTCAGTGATCACATAGAGACGCAGCAAACAAACACGATTCTTCTGTTTTTACCCAAAACACTGATTCCTGTCATAAAGAATCACTTTGTGTGAATCTGTCAGGGTTCTGCCCTCTGATTAGGTTCAGTTTCTGTCAGCAATGGCTGGTGAGGTTGATTGAGGACCCAAATGCAGAGATGAGTTCTGATTTATTTCATTGGTTAACTGAGGCAGACATCCAAAATGGAAAAATATAAAGAATATTAAACCTTCAGGGAAAAACTTACATGGGGAGCCAAAGATGAGGAAATAACAACCAGGAAGCAGCAGTGACTGACTGCAGAGGTGGAGTATTTAAGGGGAACAGAACAAAGGAAGGACTAACGAGCTAAATAAGGAGCAGGTGTGAGTGGAACTGACAAGAAGGAGTCCAAGAGGAAAGGAAACAAACACAAGGGGGCAGCAGAGACTGATTGAATCCAATGGAAAATAAACCAAAGAAAAAAACAGAACTGAAACTAAAACCTCAGAGTCACAAATGTGGAGAACATGACAGTTTCTTTGTTATTCTGCGTCTTTATAGTTGTTTTCAGTTTTGTATTTCTTGAGATGCAGCGTTTAGCTGAACTGCGATCATCAGAATCAGCTGTGCTAAAGCAGAGAAACCTTAAAAACCTGCAGGAATGGCTGCTGTAGGGAATCCATGTGACTCGTCTTCCCCTTCAGTCCATCCTCTGTTCTGTCAGTTTCTTAAGCTGCTCTCTGCTGCCCCCTTGTGCCTGTTTCCTTTCCCCTTGGCTCCCTTCTAGTTAGTTCTA